TCTCATCCCGAGCTGTTTTTTGGCGGTCCCCTGCCCCCCACGATTTCTGAGGGGGAGGGGGATTTCTGAGTGGACCCCACCCTCCCCCTCAGAAATCGTGGGGGGGTAGGGGTAGGGTTCGCATGTGGCCCCCTAATGATGTAGCTCTATGCATTGAGGACTTGCCCATTTGTCCCCCCCCCTCTATGTTGCCCCTGCACGCGTCGTTTGCTGCGCATGACTTCCGGTGCTCTCTGCATGGCTTCCCCTGCATCCGCATGGCTTCTGCTGCTATCTGAATGGCTTCCTCTGCTGCGCATGGCTTCCTCAACTATCCGCATGGCCTCCCTTCTATCCGCATGGCTTCCACTGCCATCCGGACTGCTTTCTCTCGATCCGTATGGCTTCCTCTGCTCTTCCAACTGCTCATGATGGCTATCCCAATGGCGTCGCAACAGTCATCAAACTCAGAAGTAGAGTACACTAGAGCAGAGCAGAGTAGGGAAGAATTGATGAGTAGAGCAGAATACAATAGATGAGAGCAGAGTGTGGCACAGGAGAGGACCAAGATGAGGAGTAGAGAGGAGCAGAAGTAATAGAGTTGAGTCGCGCATGGTAGGGTAGAGTAGACTAAGGTTGAATAGGGCAGAGTATAATGGGGGGGATGGTCAGAATGAGGGGACCGAACGGTCATTCATTGTCCCTAGGTGCGTGGCTGAATTGGGCACTCGAGGTTAACATTATGCTTGTTGCGTTGTTGTTGCTGTAGTTGTTGTTGTTGATGTTGTTGATGTTGTTGTTGTTGGTGTTGTTGTTGTTGTTGTTGATGTTAATGTTGATGATGCTGTTGTTTCTTGTTGGTGTTGCTGTTGTTGGTGTTGTTGTTATTGTTGTTGGTGTTAGTGTTGTGGTTGTTGGTGCTGTGGTGGTTATGGTTGTGGTTGTGGTTGTAATTGTGGTTGTGGCTGTTGTTGTTGCTGTTGCTGTTGCCGTTGCTGTTGCTGTTGCCGTTGCCGTTGCCGTTGCCGTTGCCGTTGCTGTTGTTGTTGCTGTTGCTGTTGCTGCTGCTGGTGTTGTTGTTGATGTTGTTGTTGTCGTTGTCGTTGTCGTTGTTGTTGTTGGTGTTGGTGTTGTTGTTGTTGTTGTTGTTGTTGTTGTTGTTGTTGTTGAACATTATTTATTCTAAAAAATAATTATTGTTGGGCCCCCTGGTGCGCGCCCCCCCTGCGCCGCCTAGGCCGCAGCTACATTTTCATCATTTTCGTGAGGAAGCCTCAGAAAAGAGGGTGTGTACAGGATCCGGTTGTTTTGTTGTAATCCGCTTTCCCTTGCAAAAAAAAAAATAGAAAATGACATTTCTTGTTCTAATATAATCAAATTTCAAGAATCCCTTGCAAAAAATAAGGTAAAGTGGACATTCGCGCGCGCAAGACGAAATCCTTCCAAAACCTTAGTGTTCGCAACGATTTTAACATAAAAACATCAAAAAACCAATGGTTTTTCAACAACAAATTGTCAAAATCTCATCCCGCGCGCTCTTGCGGATTCGTAGGAAACCCAACACTTTTTAAACATTTCTGTCAAACGGGCTTTTGCGAGCAACTTTTTCGAACTTCTGCGACAACGGTTGCGCACCTGCCAGGGCCATCATCCCTGTCAAATAATACCATGCGGGACACATTCGTTTTTTCTTCGCGCGCGCACGCCGTCGTCGTCGGCCGCGGGGCCCTGAATAGTAGCCACGGTCGTCCGCATGCCACGAAGTGAAGTGTCCGAACGTCATAGGGCGGGAAGCTGGGTGTGGGTGGTGGCGAAGAGTCGTTTGGAAATTTGGTAGAGCTTGAACCGGCCCCCCCACAAAGTGGGGGTATTGCCCGCCTCCTATGAAAACCCTGGCACTGGTGAGAACGGAGTGTCCCCACGTGCTAGTAATTGTTGTTGTTGTTGTTGTTGTTGTTGTTGTTGTTGTTGTTGTTGTTGTTGTTGTTGTTGTTTGTTGTCGTCGTCCCACCCGCGACCCACCCGTCACCCACCCCGCGACCAACCCCGCGACCCACGCCGCGACCCACTCGCGAACCACCCCGCGACCCACCCGCGACTCACTCTGCGACCCAACCCGCGACCCACCCGCGACCCACCCCGCGACCCACCCGCGACCCACCCGCGAACCACCTGCGACCCACCCCGCGACCAACCCGCGACACTCTGCGACCCATCCGCGACCCATCCGCGACCCACCCGCGACCCACCCTGCGACCCACCCGCGACCCACCCCTGACCCACCCTCAAGGGAGGAAAAACCACCAGGACCCGACAATTGACGTTTACTAAACGGCCCTGGGCGTTGACTAAACAGCCCTGCCCTGTTCGAATCATTCCTTGTGTGCGTTTACTAAACGGCTTCGCTTGTCGGGTGCTCGTTCTGGGGCGGATTTTCTGCCCTCTACGCCCGCGACCCACCCGCGACCCAACAGCAACCCACCCGCGACCCACCTGCGACCCACCCGCGACCCATTTGCGACCCACCCGCGACCTACTCACATTGGTTTAACAAAAAATCGGCGCCTGCGGCGAGCTCGTTGTATAATTTGTGGAACTTTGGCGCCTGCGGCGGGCTTCACCAGAGTCTCGCAAACTGCCGACGTCGCCCCACCGCCCCCTCACTCTTCTCCGCATCTGCGGGGTGCTGCGTAGAGCAGAGTCGGGTAGAATAGAGTAGAGCAGGGCAGAGCAAGGTAGATTAGAGCAGGAATAGAGTAGGAACCAAATTTGCCAGGTCGAGCGAGTCGGAAGGCCCCGCCTGCTCCCAATGCCCCCCCCGCAACTTGCGACCCACTTGCGCAACAACTTGGCACTGGGATCGGAACGCGCTCCCACCTCGCAGACGGAAGGAAGTGGCGCGCGGCCCCGCTCCCGGAGACTCGGCACAGGAGATGCAGCGCAGAGGAGCGGCAGAACTTCCGACCTCGCCATCGCTCGGACGTCCATTCCATGTGTCTTTCTCCGGTTTCGTGCGTGGTTTTTTCGCGAAATGATCAAGGATGCTCCTCGATGGTCCTCGCCGAGAAAAACACACACGTCCGAGCGACGCCAAGATGCAGCGCAGAGGAGCGGCAGAACTTCCGATGTGCGCGGCGACGGCGAAGCACATGCGCCGCGCTGACACGGCACTGCCACGTTCGCCCACGAGCTGCACGGCGCCCGGGCGAGGTCGCTTACGCTGGAGCAATGGGGGGAACACAAAAGGGGGGACGGCAGTAGGTGCGATAGTTCGTTTGCCTGAACTATTGCGCGCGAACTATTGCGAGGGGGCACGAACTATTGCAAACTGCTTAAACTATTGCGCACGAAACAAGACGAAGCAACACCCGCGCGGAACTATTGCATCCACGCCGCAAACTATTGCATCCAAGCACCAGCTATTGCATGAGCTATTGCGCCTACCCCGGTCCCCCCAGTTGCGTTCCCCCCATTACTCCGGCTTAGAGTCGGCACTTCGCCCGCGAGCTCGCGCGGCCCCGGCTGCCGCTGCCGCTGCCGCTGCGCTCTGGCGAACGAGCCGTGCGCTGCGCCCGCGCTGGAACGCCACCTCCCGAGCGACATGCGCACGGAGCCTTGGGCGAGGGCGAGCAGCCCCCGAAACAAAAAAACACGAGCGAGCGAAGCCCTGCCGCGCTGGGGCGGGAGCGCACCACCTGCGAGCGGCACCTGCGCGGCGCCTACATCGAGAGCGACAGGATCGCCCGCCCGCGCGCCGGCCAAGGTTGCTTTCGGGAGCGGCCAAGAGGGGGGTGTCCAAGAGGGGGGGGTGCAAATCATGACCCGCGGCATGTGCGCGGCCCATCGGGGGGACCAGGGACGTAATGAAATAAGACGAAGCGCCATGAGATCTGGGGAAATATCATGGCCCCCGCCATGATATCCCCCCCCCCCTAGTCATCACCCCCCTCTTTTCCGCCCCCGAAGGTTGCTTGCGTGCTAAGCGTGTGCGCCGCGCCCGGGTGGGAGCTCCACTCTCCAGAAGAGCGAGCGCGGCGCCGACTAAGCGATCCGTCGGCACTTCGCGCCCGATGCATGCCGCGCTCTCTCTCTCTCGTTCTGCCGCGCAGTTTTGCAACGCGGGCGGCGCAATGTCCGTGTTGAAACGACCTCTTTGACAGGTCGGATGGGCCCCCCCCCCAGATCCGGGTGCTATCGGCTGACTGGGTGGCAGAATGCAAGAGTGTCCCAAGGAGGGGCTCAGACAGAGCAGGAGCCGAGCAGAGCATGAGTACGAGTAGAGTAGGGTAGTAGGGTCGATTAGGGGGGAGTCGAGCAGAGTAGGTTTGGGTAGATGGTTGAGTACAGTCGGGTAGAATCGAGTAGAGTAGAACAGAGTCGAATGGCTGGTAGTATACTTGGGTAGAATCGAATGTTTTGCCATCGGCGGCTTCACCTCCACAGCTCAAAGTAGAACAGGGTAGGAGTAGAGTAGGGGTAGGAGTAGAGTAGCATAGAGTAGAGTAGGGTTAGAGTCGGTTAGAGTAGGGTCGAGTAGAGCAAATTACACTGGAACCTAACAAATTAGGGCCGATGGTTGAGTATAGCCGGGTATACGAGAGTAAAGTAGAATCGTTCAGAGGATGGTGGGGAAGATTATAGGAGAGTATATTAGAATGGAGCTGAGTTGGGGTAGGGTCGAAGTAGAGTAGAATTATTAGGAGTAGGGTAGAGCAGCGTTTAGTCGAGTGGAATAGATGGTAGAGCAGAGCCGGGCACAAAATAGTATAATAGAATATAATAGAGTAGAGTACGTAGAGTAGTGTAGAGTTCACCCCAGTCCCGTCCATTCTACTGCAGTCCACTCCAGCCCACTTTATCATAATTTTCGGACCTATGTGGAATTGCAATGCCTGTTTTTTCCCGTGCGCTGGAGGTCTGGGCCGTTCTCGGTGCCCGATCGATGCTGGCCTCCCTCGCGAGAAAAGGCCCCGCGCAGAGCGGCTGGCGACCAAGGCAAGCAAAGACCACGCGCCGGGCTCCTCCAGTAGCCGGGAGCCCTCCTCCAGCTGCGCGCACAGCTGCTGTCCGCGCCGTGGCGATGGGGGGGGGGGGGGGGGGGGCACACTCTCCTCCTCACTGGGGGGCAGCGAGGTCCGAGGTCTGAGGCTTTGAAGACACCTGAATGAGCGACGGGCACGCGCGGACAATGGACAGATCGCAACGCTGAGACAGGACGTTCCCCTCTGGGAAGAAGCCCAAGGGCCTAAGGAACGCAATGCGTGTAAGCCAGCCGCCAAGCAAACACGGAACGACGCACAAGCCGAGCTGCAGGGGGCAAACTCGTGTAGAGAACCTTGGCCTGGGAGAGACGAGCAGAGCAAAAGCAAGAAGGCGCCCAGGACACCAAGGGGGGGGCCACCCTTTCCTCCTTACAGGGGGGCAACGGTCGGGGCAGCGATGTTCGATGTCTGAGGTATTCGGACGTTTTCGTCGGCCCTCGGCTGCTTTCCAGCCTCGGGATGCCTGCCAGCGGCGGCGCCTCGCCGAGAGCGTTCTGGGGATTCCCAGATCGCCCCGAAAACCATCAGGGGACCAGCTCAAGGGGGGAGAACATCGAAACGGAATCGGCGATATATTTTTCCGATAGATCGAAGGCAGGCCCCGGGCAGTAAATCCGCTCTTTCCTGGGCGGGGTGGGCCATCGGGCACCCGTCGGTGATGAATGGGCGATTTGGGCTGGATGCGTCCCCCCTGAGCCTATCCACCCCTTAACGTTGCGCCTGACTTAATTACTCAGGGTCTCGCCACCGCTGTCGTCGTCGTGGTCGTCGTGGTCGCCGCCGTGGTGGTCGTCGTCTTCGCCCTCGTCCTCGTCGTGGTCGTCGTGGTCGTCGTGGTCGTCGCGGTCGTCGTGGTCGCCGTCGTCGTCCTCGTGGTCGTGGTGGTCGTCGTCGTCGTCGTCGCCGCCGTCGCATCGCCGCAGGCACCTTCGAGCCGCGGCCCGAGCAGCCGCACCGCCGCGCGCCCGCCCGCCCGCCCCCCCTCCGGCAGCCCTTTTTTTCCCCGACCCTCCGAGGGTCGAGCGTCAGAGATCGAGGGCCGAGGATCCAGGCCAGAGGGTCAAAGATCGAGGGCCGAGGGTCAAAGATCGAGGGTCGAGGGTCGATGATCGAGGGTCAAAGATCGAGGGTCGAGGGTCGAGGATCGAGGGTCAAAGATCGAGGGTCCAGGGTCGAGGATCGAGGGTCGAGGATCCAGGGCGGAGGGTCGAGGGCCGAGAGGAGCCTGGGCGGAGGGTCGAAGGCTGGGCATCTCGAGGGTCGACGAGCGAGCGCCGGAGCCGCGCGCGCCCCGCTGGGCAGCCGGCCCGCGTCCACGAGGGCATTGCGTGATGGCTGGCGGGTCGAGGATCGAGGGTCGAAGGTGGAGGACCGAGGATCGAGGGTCGAGGATCGAGGGTCGAGGGTCGAGGATCGAGGATCGAGGATCGAGGGTCGAGGGTCGAGGGTCGAGGGTCGAGGATCGAGGGTCGAGGACCGAGGGTCGAAGGTGGAGGACCGAGGATCGAGGCGTGTGTGGCTCCTCTCTCGGGCCGGGCGAAAAGGGGGGGATGGCAAAGGGGGGGTTTGAGAGTCGGCTCGCGTAGCTGGTCTTCCCGGCGCCTCCCGGCGCCGGAGGCGGCCATGTATCGAGGAATGGGCCCCTCGGTGGGGCCGAAACCAGCTGCATGCAGCAAATTTCGTAACCCCCCCTTTCCCAAATCGGGTCCGGGTGGTTCCTCCTCCCTTGAGGGTGGGTCGCGGGGTGGGTCGAGGGTGGGTCGCGGGGTGGGTCGCGGGGTGGGTCGGTGGGTCGCGGGGTTGGGTCGCTGATGGGTCGCGGGTGGGTCGCGGGGTGGGTCGCGGGGTGGGTCGCGGGGTGGGTCGCGGGGTGGGTCGCGGGTGGGTCGGGGGGTGGGTCGCGGGTGGGTCGCGGGGTGGGTCGCGGGTGGGGTCGCGGGGTGGGCCGCGGGGTGGGGTCGCGGGGTGGGTCGCGGGGTGGGTCGCGGGTGGGTCGCGGGTGGGACAACGACAACAACAGCAACAACAACACCAACAACGACATCATCATCAAGAACAAAAACAACAGCAACATTAACAACAGCAACAACAATCATTTTAAGACTGTTCGCCCTTATCTGCTCGAGTGTCCAATAACGCGTATGTCCCAAACCATCGACACCCGCCTTCTTCGTCTTCGATCGAACCCCTTTTTGGGGGGTATACCTTTCTTCCCTGCAGGCCAGGCCCCGGCAAGCGGCGGGGCGGCCGCAGACCGTCGACCTGGTCAGCGGCAGCGCTGATCGGCGGGGCGGCCGCGGACCGTCGACCCGACCCCAGGAGGGACAGACAGCGGACCGACCACGACGACGACGAGGACGTCGACGACGACGACGACGACGGCGACGACGAGCGAAAGCGAGAGTGAGAGAGAACGACAGCAGGGCCACGAAGGACACGAAGTAGGCCACGAAGGGCGACAGCAGGGACACGAAACGAATGCGTATGGGGCCACGAAGACAACTATGGGGCCACTGAGGGTAGCAACTGGGCCATGTAGGACAGTGAGGGGGCCACAAACAGCGACAGCGGGGCCACGAAGGGCATGCACATGGGGCCACAACGGGCGCGACTCCTGGGTGCCTGGGTGTCGGGAGCGGCGCTTGAGCAAATTGCAAGAAATTCCAACGCAAGGGCGCTATTCTTCAGCAAATTGCAGGAAAGTCTCCAGCGAGAGCGCGACTCCAGAGCGCCGGGAGAGCGATTCCTCGATGAATTGTAAGGAAGTCCCAAGCGAGAGCGCAATTCCTGAATAAAATGTGAGGAAGTCTCGGGCGGGAGCGGGGGCCCTGGCTAAATTGTAAGGAAGTCTGAAGCGGGAGCCGTTGTTGTTGTAACCCGGGGGCCAGGGGCACAATTTGAGCATCAATATTTCCCATGTCAAAAAAACCGGGTGCGAGCGTCGAGGGGCACACTTTGATTGAGAAAAAACAGTGTGCACCGGTGGGGGGGGGGGTCTACACTAATAATTCTTCAGAAATGAGAGCTCAACAACCACACCAACGCAGCAAGCAGAATTCTCACCACAAATTCCCTGCTCAGGCAATGGATGACCGTTCGGCCCCCTCACTCTGATATATATATATATATATACACACATAGGTATACCTACACGTAAGAAAGAGAGAGAGAGAGAGAGAGAGCGAGAGAGAGAGAGAGAGAGAGAAAGAGAGATAGAGAGAGTCCCCCAATAGTGCTTACACTTACGGCTAATTGCTTCTGTTCTAACGATCTGGGCCGTGTCTTCAATCTGGCGGTTATGTCGCCGCCGTCGCCGCTCCATCGCCGCCTCGTCGCCGCCCGTCGTCTGGGCCGCGTCGTCGGTCTGGCGTCTATGTGGCCGCCGTCGCCGCCTCTTCGCCGCCGTTGGTTTTGCACCACGTAGATTGCAAGCCAAAAACATCGCGCCTGCGGCGCGCTCGTTGATCGCTCACATCCTAGAAGGCACTACAGCTATTGCACAACAGCATAAATGGTAAAATCATAGCTTGCACATCATTTTGTGGGCAATCACAGTTATTGCACCATGTAGGTTGCAAACACACACACACGTATTGCACAGCATAAATTGATTCACATAGATTGTTCCGCATGAGTTGCGCCACAGCGATTGCACAACAGTAGTTACTCCAAACAGATTGAACCACACAAATTGCACAACACAGATGGCACAACATTGATTCTCCTTTCTAAAAACAAAAGAAGATCTACCCCCCCCGGCGTTATCGCTACCCCTTTCGGGTAAGTAAATCATATATGATTCTGACCACATGTCCATCCTAAAAATGAATTTGCGCTATCCCCCGGGGGCCGGTACCCCCCCCTGAGGGCCCCTGGTAAAAAAAAGAAGAAAAAAACACTATGCGGTGACATTTGTTGCTCTAACATAGCACTTTTTCACGAATCCCTTCCAAAAGATGAAACGAAGTGTACACGCGCGCGTCGTCGCGCGCGCATGCCGAAATCCTTCAAAAACCTTCGGTGCCGGAAGGATGTCGCAATCGAGTCTCAAAAAAACATACAAAAACATAGGGTTTCGCAGCACTGATTTGCTAAACAAGCTTCAGCGCGAGCTCTTGCGAAATCTTAAGAAAATCGTAGGGTTTTCAAGATTTTCACAGAATGCTACCAAACGGGCTTCGCGCGCGCACGTCGATCTCTGTCGAACGCCCTTGCGCGTGTGCCGTCGCGAGCATCCTCTGCAAAAAATGGGACGAAGTGCAGACGCGCGCGTCGTCGCGCGCGTATGCCGAAATCCTTCAAAACCCATCGGTTTCGGAAGGATTTCAAAATCGTGTCTCCAAAAAACCTACAAAAACCCAAGGTTTCGCAACACGGATTTTCAACAAAAGCGTGCGCGCGCGCTCTTGCGTCGTCGTCGTCGTCGTCGTCGCCGTCCTCCCTCCTCTCGCGTCGTCGTCGTCGTCGCCTACGTCGTCCTCTGTCTTTCCTCGTCTTCGTCGTCATCGTCCTCTTTGGTGTCGTGGTCGTTTCCGTCGTCGTTGTCGCCGTGGTCGTCCTTCCTCCTCCTCCCTCGTCGTCGTCGTCGTCCGTCGTCGGCGTCTCGTCGTCGTCCCTCCTATTTCGTCGTCGTCGTCGTCGTCGTTGTCGTCGTCGTCTTCCCTCCTCCCTCGTCGTTGTCGTCGTCGGCGTCACCGTCCTTCCTCCTTCTTCGTCGTTCGCGTCGTCGCCGTCCTCCCTCCTCCCTCGTCGTTGTCGTCGTTGTCGTCGTTGTCGCCGTCGTCGTCCTTCCTCCTCCCTCGTCGTCGCCTTCGTTGGCGTCGTCGTCGTCTTCGTCGTCGTCGTCAGCGTCGTTGTCGTCGTCGAAGTCGACGGAGACGTCGTCGGTGTCGTCGTAGTCGTTGTCGTCGCAGTCAGTCTTAATAGGTTGTGCAAACCAAGTTGCGGGTGGGTGGGTGGGATGTTTGCGCGAGCAGTGGAGATGACGACTTCAAGTTCAGCAGAGTGGATTGCACCGCATAGATTGCACCACATCTATTGCAACACTTATATTGCTCCACCTAGTTTGTACCACATGGGTTTACCACATAGTTTGCATGACATAGTTTGTTCCACATGAATTGCACCCTATATATTGCACATCATAGACTGGACCACACATGTTACGCATCATGTATTGCACATCGTCGATAGTACAACGCATACTGTACCACGCCACAGGGATTACACAGCATAGATTGCACCACGCAGGTGACTACAAAACACTGTTTGGAATCCATGTTGGCTAACATCTACTCGAACCTTCGGAGATTCTCGCATATTTCGTAGTCGGCGCTGAACCCCCTCTCCCCACAGTTTTGGCGGTGCCTCCGAAGCGCGCCGCGCGCCAGTGAACGGGTGCGGGAAGAAGGGGTCCAACACCGACGCCCGAGTAGTCGTGCGGCCCTCTAACGTTTTACGTGTCATGTCCTCAACAGCTCGTCTGTAAAGGTTGTCGAACATGCTTTCTCACGCCCGGTCCAGGAGCCTGGGACCTCGAAATCGAAGGCTTGGCATGTCTCCCCATCGTGACCCCCCTTCGTGAACTGTGTAAAGCTGTGCAGGGGCTTCTGCCGCAAGGTTGTCATTCTCTTCGACCCACAGCCCCCCGTACGATGGCCCAACACATTGTGGTAGTCTACATGCCTCCTTCAAATTGACGCGCTTGACGATATTGCTGCTGACTCTGAGCATGCAGATGACAATTCTTATCGTGCTGCTCACAAGCACGTTAGCTTTGCGCATGCGATGGCAACTCGCATTACGAGCAACACTCCAGCACGAGAGCTAGCGAGAGTACATACAGATACGTGGCCACCGATAGAAGGCCATGGCATCGTGCCTCGTGTTGCTTCGCCGCCGCGAGTACATGAGACAGCTGCGTCTGAATGCCACTGCTCCTGCCCATCCTCGGCGCCATCTATGTCAAATCCAATAGGGCAGACAGAAAGGATAAGCTGGCGCCGTTCACACCGGCATGTGTGCTTGGGGAGAAGCCAGAGTTCGAGCAGTTGGAGCAAGGCGATCTAACGTCTACGTGGGATGGGCACTACGCCTCCTGTCCTTCCCATCCCCATTCTCCTCCTCCTCCTCCTCCTTCCGCTCGTCCTCCTCCTCCTCCCCCTCCTGCCTCCTGCCCCCTCCTCCCCCTCCTCCTCCGCCTCTCTCCTCCTTCTCCTCCTCCTGATCCTTCTTCTCCTCCTCCTCCTCCTCCTCCTCCTCCTCCTCCTCCTCCTCCTCCTCCTCCTCCTCCTCCTCCTCCCCCCCCTTCTCCGATTCCTCCTTGCACCGCCGCTGCTCTTCTTCTCCGGAGAGGCGGCGAGGCTTCGAGCACGCTGGACGAGGCGACCTCAGCATGTGCATTGCGCCCCGTGTGTGTGTGTGTGTGTGTGTGACATGGACACTACGCCTGCTTACCCTCCGCCCCTCCACAAGAGGGGGCGACGAGGTGGGACCGTGGGGAGATTCGGGCGAGCGGCGACGGGGATTCTCTGTGTTTGAACACGGCTGCCCCGCTGCATGCCCAGACCGCATTAGAGGTATGAGTCAGGAGGTCCGCTCCTTTCTCTTTCGGGCCGTGACTCTTCGCGTATATTGTTCCGGCAAGCCCGCTTCCACTTGCCTTCCGAAGGCCCCTGAAGCTTAGCGAGACGGGCTCCCCACGCACTTGTCTTACAACCAATAGAAAGACTTTTTGGATGCTGCAGACCAGACGCATTGGGAAAACAAGCGATTCCTGTCCGCTTGAGCGGTTGCCTTCACAAGCGAGTCGGACAGCATTCGCACTCACTGGCAGCGTCGACCATACTAGAAAACACGAACGACTGAAAGGAGGAGGAGGAGGAGAAGGAGGAGGAGGAGGTGCGCTGCCCACTGAGGGAGGGGCACTCAGAAATGGTCGCGTCGTGAAAAAACAAGACGGGGCATTTTTGTAGTTTTCGGGCTCTGGGGGACTTCGCTGGGTCCCGGCACCGTGAAACAACGACTCGGGACTAAACGCTGGTCCAAGGGAAAGGGTCGGGACTTCCCGAGGCCGCGTATCAAAAAGACCAAGACGTTGCTTGTCTGGGGCAGGGAGGCCCAGGTAAGAGTTAGAGGAGAAAAGGACATGTGTGTGTGTGGGGACGTCCATCCGACGAGGTGCCCTCGGAGGAACCTCTTTGTTCGACCGCCCCGGTTCCAAGCCCAGGCGGCGGAGGAGGAGGAGGAGGAGGAGGATAGGGGAGATGGAGGAGGAGGAAGAGGAGGATGAGGATGAGGAGGAGGATGGGGGAGGAGAGGCGGAGGAGGAGGAGGAGCAGGAGCAGGAGGAGAAGGAGGAGAAGGAAGGAGGAGGAGCCGGAGGAGGAGGAGGAGCAGGAGCAGGAGGATGAGGAGGAGAAGGAAGAGAAAGAGAAGAAGATAGATGAACGCAAAACGGCATAAACATAAACTTTGAACGATCCGCATGGATTTCTGCGACTTGCTTGGATCTCCCTGGAGCGCGGATCGCGCTAGGGGCGGCGGCGGAGGCGCCGCCTGGGGGGCCCTGGCGCCGATCCAAGCAATCTGCGCGGATCGCTGAAAGCTCATGCTTATGCAATTTCATTTTATTCGAGAGGCGGAGGAGGAGGAGGAGGAGGAGCAGGAGGAGGAGGAGGAGGAGCCGGAGGAGGAGGAGGAGGACGAGAATGAATGAATGGAAGACGACTCTGGGCCCGCATCTCTCCCTGTCCCTGCTATGCCGAGGCGGACTGAACAGCGTGCGGCAAGCTCGTGTATGTAATGCGTGTAAAACTCGTGGTTTTGCAAGTGAAACACACAGGCGTGTAATATGTACGAGAGAGTGCACCCGTCGGACGACTAAAAAAAGTCATGAGGTTCAGAAGGGGCCCAGCGGGCCCCGACGGGCCTGTAGGCTGGGCCCCAGGGTCACGCGCACCGACGCGTAGGGCACGAACAGACCCCAGGGAGCAAGGACAACTAAGGCGTTAGCCAAAAAGAATGGGCCAACAGGGGGGGGCGGACCTCGCGGTAGCGTGAAACAGGTGGGAGGCGACAACGATCCGTCATTAGATGATCACTTCACGCGGTCACCGTCCGATACGTAGTGCAGCGCATTGGGGAGGAGGCCGAAATTGAAGAAGAGCCTGCCCCGCGCTGCATATATGAATGCATGCGCCCTACGCATGCTCACCTGCTATCTTTTGCGTCTACTGCGTTCTGTAGTATCTCCTCCATTGCGCCTGGTGGCGCCGCGCCCAGCGCCCTGCGCCCGCCGATCTCCTCGAGTGCCTTCTGGAGCAGGCCGCGGACTGTCAAGGGCGAAGGCAGCTGCTGCTCGTCTGATTCGGGCGGTACGCTCGGCTGTGCCACATCCCTCATCATCAGGTGGAGCTTCCTCTTGTTCTGGTCGTAGCACTTCGTGACTCGGAACAGCCGTACCATGTCGTACAGGTCGTGAGGCTGCAGCTCGCACCACACTCTGCCGTGCCAATCTTTGAGCATCGCGTGTGTCCTCTGCACCAGCGCGGGCCCACGCTCTAGCAACTTGGTCACGAACCCATTGAATATATGAAGGTGAGGAGGACCGAGCTGGTGGCCTTTGCCTCGGGCTCGGACTTCGTGCGAATACGTCGCCCCTGCCTCCTGCGCGGCCTCGATCTCCGGCAGGTCGGCGGTCAGGAAGTACGTGTCCACTCCTGCGGCCCACAGCTCGCGCACCAACTGGGTCGTCATGAACGTCTGCTTCACCATCACGTTGATGAAGTTGGCCTGCTTCTTGGTGAACCCCATGTCCTTGATCTGCCCGAGGTGCCGATTGCGCTGCTGCTTGCTGTTGGGCCCGCTGGCTGCGGCCGCGACGGAGGCGGAGCCTGGGGTGGGAGCGGAGCTCTTGCCGCCCTTGTCCTTCTGCGGGGGGCCGCCGCCCTTGGCCTTGGCCAGCACGGGAGCGCCCTCGGGCTCTGCCCCTGGCGGCCGCTTCTCCAGCATCCACTTGGGCTTGGGGGTCGCCATCGCCAGCCCGTCTCTCAGGAATGAAAGGCAAGTGCCGCTCGCAAATGTGATCCTGGAGCTGAGCCAAATCGAAATACGAAGACGTGGCGCACACAGGACAAACAAGCCTGGGGACGACCACTGGATGTAGTGCATGCGCGCTGAGAACATCACAAACTCCCCGACGAAATGCCCGACAGAGGTGAGCCTTCGCGGTCTTCTGGAAAGCAAAGGAAGTGCGACACGCTGGACACTGGTTCGTGACGACACATCTGGCATAGTAGGAGAAGTTGCCATGAGAGCCGCCCTGGGTGTGAGTCTGGTGCGCGATGAGGGCAGCATGGGCGAAGAAGCGGGCGCCACACACGTCTCCATCATCCGTAGTGCATCTGCATACGCGCACGCAGCCAGAGGGACCCAATAATTCCTCAATTCCATCCTGCGAGGCGGAGAGGCAGGGTCCGAAATCGATAACGTCCAGCTCAGTCTTACCGCTCTGCCAGATCTTGCGCAAAGCAGAAACATCAGCCACCAGAAACTGATGCGATATGTAGTCGTCATGGAAGAGCGCATGGATGTCCTCGCCCCAGACGGAGCGCCAGTCTTCATAATCTGTTAGAAGCTCGAGCCTGCAAACGTCAGTCACGAAACGAACGGCGAACGGGTTGGCGTGAACGGTGAGGCGGCCCTCGGACAGGGTGGGGGCATTCTCGAAGCCGACGCGACCGAAGAGGAGGCTAATGACCTGGGAATGTTCTTCGGGCCATCTAACCATGGCCTGGTACCATCGAAGTCTCTGAACTAACAACTCGACCCCAGACGGAACAATATTCATCCATTTCCAGACCTCCCGAGAGTCCTTAATAATGGGATGATCTCCAGAACGGCCACACAAAGCCCCCGCAGCAATACATCGGATCTTACCCAAGAGCGCGATGTCCAGCTGGGCCTCTTGGGAGCTCGTGAGGAGATACGGCGTAAGTCCAGACAACAGCGCACCTTGCACCACAGATATGAATACTAGCCTCTTCACCTTAAAAGGGGCCCCCGAGGTCCACAAATACTTAAAAGACATCCACCCCCTGTTGGCCGCTACTTTACTCAGTGCAAGCTGGTGGGAGAAGGCGCCAGAGGGCAAACACTGAGGTCCCAAGTACCTGGTGCGCGGGGCCACTCGGGGCCCCCCGACCTCCGCAGCGTAAAACTGGCGAGTGGCCTTGTAGCCACAAAGGCGGGGGACCAAAACTTGTTTCGACGTGTTTTGCTTGTATCCGTACGCAGCCAGGGCATTGCCGAGCTTAGCCTGGGCTTCGCGCGCTGTGGCGACAGCCTCGGAAAGTGCCCCCTCCTGGAGTAGCAAAAAGTACGCCAGATCGTCCACGTATTTGAACAGGCCCGCATAGACCTCGCGCCCGAACACGGGGCACGACACGCACAAAGCAGGGTCCTGAAACTGGGCGAGCCACTCCTGGAGGGGGCGGGCAAAATCAACTCGAAATTCGTCGGGCGCACTGGGGTCCCCCATCAAAGCCCCGCTTTGGAGGTGAAGGGTGGTGGGGCGATCAACGCCCTCGAGGTGAAGTAGGTGCGTGGTGCGCCTGTCGCTGAGCAGGGCAACATCCCCTGCTGGCAAATACTCTAAAAGTCCTTGATTCATGCGCTTGTGCTCGCAACAACCGAAAGCATTCTTCATGTCATCGAAAACAGCGATGTGCCACACGCGTGCGCTACGCAAGCGATCCGCCAAGATCTGCGTGCCCAAAATGGCATTCTCTCGCCTGCGTCGAGGAATGCATCCGTGGTCGTACTCCGCAGGCGCAGCGTGTGGGACCGTCCTATAGATGCCCCTGGCAATGGCTCGAAAGAAGGGGCAGAGGCCGTGCAGAAACCGAGTGCCGCCGTCAGGTTTGGGAGTCTGCCAACCGAGAGAAAACCCCGCACACGTAGGAAACCTCCCCACCACCCGCCAGCACGTGGCCAGACTTCCCAAACCAATCTTGATGGCCTCTACCTCAGGGGGCTCAGGCTTTCCGCCAACTCCGAAGGGGGAAATACGTGGCTTGCTATAATACTTAGGCAGGAGAAGCATGAGCCAAATCTCGCCAGGGAGGGACCAGGCAGGGACGGAACGTCTGCGCGAAGCCTTGCGGAGCACCCACGATGCTCTGCGAAGGTCTCAGAGGAGGACGAGGACGAGGACGAGGAGGAGGAGGAAGAGGACGAGGGGAAGATGAGCAGGGGGAGGAGGGGGAGCGGCCAAGAGAGGGGCAGAGGGTAAGAGGCGGGCAGGAGGGGAGGAAAGGGAGGAGAAGAGGAGGAGGGGCAGGGGGCGGAGGGGAGGAGGAGGGGAGGAGGAGCAGGGGGAGGAGAGGGAGCGGCCAAGAGAGGGGTGGGGGGGAAGAGGCGGGCAGGGAGGAAGGAGAGTGATGAGGGGAGCAGGAGGAGCAGGGAGAGGCGGTGAGGGGAGGAGGAGCAGGAGGAGGAGGAGGGCGGCAAAGAGAGGGGAACCAGCGGCCAAGAGAGCAGGACAGAGGGCGAGCGGCCGCGTCGGCGGCCACCCGAGAGTGCAGCGAGGGCGGACTGCGGCGGACCAGCTGTCCGCGGCGACCAGAGCCAGCCGCGAGGATCTGGCCGCAAACAAGGCCGACGAGGAGGAGGAGGAGGAGGAGGAGGAGGAGGAGAAGGAGGATGAGGAGGAGGAGGAGGAGGAGGAGGAGGAGGAGGAGGGGGAGGAGGGGGGAATGAGGGGCAGAGGGGGAAAGTTGGGGAGGATGGGATGAAGAGGGGCGATAGTGGAGGGGGGGGAGAAGGGAAGGACGAGGGAGATGGTAGAGGAGGGGTGAGAAGTGGCCAAAAAACCACGCGTCGTGATTTCTTGCCTCAGCGCTCCTGGGCCCGCGTTGCTCCATCCCCTGCCTGCGCCCGTGCCCGTCCCTGTTCGGGCGAGGGTCGACGAAGAGCTGCTGCCCTGCGCCGGCGACCTCCTCTCGGAGGAGCGGGGGCAGGAGACGGCTCCAGCGAGCCGAAGGATGAGGAGCAGGAGCAGGAGGAAGAAGGAAAAGGAGGAGGAGGAAGATCATGTGCGATGGCAGGAGGAGGAGCAGGAGGAGGCTCCTCCTCCTCCTCCTCCTCCTCCTCCTCCTTCTCTTCTGCTCTTCTTCTTCTGCTTCTCCTCTCCTTCTTCTTCTTCTTCTTCTGCTTCTGCTTCTGCTTCTGCTTCTGCTTCTGCTTCTGCTTCTGCTTCTGCTTCTGCTTCTGCTTCTGCTTCAGCGCTGCTTCTGCTTCTGCTTCTGCTTCTTGCTTCTTCTTCTCTTTCTCGCTCTCTGCTTCTCTCTCCCCTCCGCCCTTCCTCCTCCTCCCTCCCTCCTCCTCCTCCTCCCCCTACCTCCTCCTCTCTCCTCCGCCTACCGCCTCCACCTCCTCCTCCTCCTCCTCCTCCTCCTCTCCTCCTCCTCCTCCTCACGCCTCCGCCTCCGCCTCCCCGCCTCCGCCTCCTCCTCCGCCATCACACCGCCTCCGCCCTCATCCGCCTCCGCCTCCATCTCCGCCCTCCATCCCCTCTCCTCCTCCTCCTCCTCCTCCGCCCTCCGCCTCCTCCTGCCTCCTCCTCCTCATCCTCCTGCCTCCTCCTCCTCCTCCTCCTTCCTCCTCCTCCCCTCTTCCCTCCTCCTCCTCCTCCTCCTCCTCCTCCTCCTCCTCCTCCTCCTCCTCCTCCTCCTCCTCCCTCACCTTCTGGCTCCTGGTGCGGGAATGTGTGCGGCGCTTGCAGCTGTGAGTGCCTCTGCGGGCTAGCTGCACTGAGCCGAACTCCTCCTCCTCCTTCTCCTCCTCCTCCTCCTCCTCCCCCTCCTCCTCCTCCTCCTCCATTCCTAACTCCTCCCTGCCACACACACACACACCGAGGCCGGTCGAAAGGGCGGGCTGGGCGTTTCGCCTGAGACCTCCTCACGATGTATGACCCTGAAGCTCAGAAACTGGCAACAGTTCACAGATAGAGGGCGGGTGGTTTTCAAAATGTAACCGTCGCCTTAGCACCGCGCGCATTCGTTTGAACAGATTGCACAAACTCCAAGGATTAAGGGCGGGGCGTTCTGAACATGTGGGTCTCGCCTTAGCGCCGCGCACATTGGTTTTGGTTTTCAAAATGTGACTCTCGCCTCAGCATCGCGCACATTCGTTTAACACATCTGCAATGGCTTCACAGTTTGAGGACGGGCCGATTCCATGATGTGGCTCTCGCCTTTACGCAGCGCGCGTTCGTTGTACAAAAATGCAAGCGCTTCGCGGATTGAGGGCGGGTTGTTTTCACAATGTGGCTCTCGCCCCAGCGTCGCGAACACTCGTTTTACATATTTGCAAAAGTTTCACGGATTGAAGGCAGGTGGCTTTCAAACTGTGACTCTCGCCTCAGCGCCGCGCATATTCGTTTCAAACATTTGCAAAATCTTCACAGATTCCCATGGTCAGCGTGCCAGAAACCGTGTGTTGGAAGGACTTCGGACTGCGGTGCTGAAGCCTCATGAATGGTGCTCTGGCACAATTCAGGATCGTCAACAATCATGTTGGCTCCTGGCGGTGGAGTGCCGAAGATGATGTTTTGGCGCGCTTCAGGGTTTTCAAACGGTTGTTTCCCAACGAGGCAATTCCTCCAGTGGGAATGAGCCCGTGTAGGGGCCTGTGACAAAAGGGAGCTTGGGGGGAAGGTTCGTTCTAAAATCGTTGATGAGCCTCGGGTTTCCACTGGTCCTTCGCCTCCTCCTCCTGTTCCTGCTCCTCCACCTCCTCCACCTCCTCCTCCTCCTCCGCCTCCTCCTCCTCAACCTCAACCTCCTCCTCCTCCCCCTCCTCAACCTCCTCTTCCTCCTCCTGCCCCCTCCTCCTGCTCCTCCCCCTCCCCCTCACCTTCTGCTCCCGCCCTCCCCCTCCTCCTCACTCCCCCCTCCTCCTCCTCCACCTCCTCCTCCCTCCTCCTCCTCCTCCTCTCTCCTCCTCCTCCTCCTCCTCCTCCCTCTCCTGCTCCTCCCCCTCCCCCTCCCCCTCCTCCTCCCCCTTACCTTCCGCCTCCGCCTCCCCCTCCTCCTCAAGCTCCTCCTCGTCCTCCTCCTCCTATCTCGGGCGCGCTGGGAGCAGGGGGCGGGGGCGCATCGTGGCCCGAGGTGCGTGTGTGCGGGGGCGGCGATGGGGGCTAAGGGGGGCGCTTCCAGAGAATAGCAATAATAATATTCACCAGACAACTAAGAAACACAATAAGAACAACGTCACGAAAGATAAAGAGTGATGAACATGATGGAGGTAATAATGCCCATGTTTGGAGGAAGAAGAAGAAGAAGAAGAAGAAGAAGAAGGAGAGGGTGCTATGCTATCATGGCCCCGCCAATCTACCCATTCGCCCCTGGCCACACGACAGGGGAGGGCGATGGGACGGGGAGAGAGATCCCCTGTCGCCCCCGCGCTTTGAAAACCATGGCGCAACATGTGTTGGTAAACGAGCGACGATCCACAGCGAGTCTCACGCGAGATAACATAGCGACCTTCCGCGGCGGCTGATGCGGGCCGCCAGCGCGGCACGCTACATTGGAGACGAGGGTGCTTACTCCAGATTTCGTAATAAAGGGAGGGGGGTCTCATTTCGGGGGGGGTCTCTTCCAGGCTATCTTGGAGGGCCTGGGGGGTCTGGGGACGATGTTTTGGAGGGTTCTCCCACGGGGGGGGTCTAAAACTTTTCGTCTGGGAGGGTTGAGACCCCCTCCCTTTAATTACGAAATCTGGAGTACGCGCGACCTTGCGCGGGCAACCTACGTGCCGATGTCGGCGCAGACGACCCCGTCTTACTGCGCCGCTCAAAAATTTCCGCCGCCGGGGAGCCGTTCTCGCGCCCCGAGCCGCCAAACGACTGCTCGGGGTGAGCAGCCGCTCCCCAGGAGGAGGCCCAGACCTCTGGGGAGCCCTGCTGTTGGGCGTGGCTTAATGGGTAATGGGGGGTCACAAATGGGGGGGTCAGAAAAGGTTCCCTTTCGTGCCCCTTTCGGGCCCCTCCGGAGCCTCAGGGGGCTCGTTTAGGTACCGTTTGGGTACCTTTTCGGACCATCCGCGACACCCCCCCATTTACGACCCCCACATTACGCGGCGCCCAATGCTGCGAACAAATCCGGATGCCGGGTGTTTTGGTGAGGGCGTCGGGAAGGATGTTCACTGTCCTGGGGCCCGATCGCTGGCCCGAGACGCCGAGATCCGGGAAACAGCGCCAGGACTAACACAATCATGCCGTCGGAGATCTGGGGAGGAAGAGGGCGGGGAGCCTTGACGACGTCAACGACGTCGTTTCGGACGTTTGCGGGCGTCTCCGGAGGCTCGCGCCGCGACGGCTGGGCGCAGATCGAGCAAGCGGCCAGGACGGACCAACAGTCCTTGGCGGTCTTTGCGGTGGTCCCTGGTCCGGCAGTACCTCGTCGGTCGAAGGGGTGGAGCAGGAGGAGGAGGAGGAGGAGGAGGAGGAGGAGGAGGAGGAGGAGGGGGACGAGGAGGAGGGGGACGAGGAGGAGGAGGAGGACGAGGAGGAGGAGGAGGAGGAGAACAATGGCCGAAAGCCTGATGCCCACCCACGCCGATCTTGGGCAGGCCAATCCTGGACTTGACCAGGATCGGTGACGGCGTGCAGGGGCGGCAGGGCCACAGGGGGTGCGCTGTGAGGGTGCAGGGCCCCTGGGGCACGGCGCGGGACGTGAAGGGAGGGGGAGGGCCCAGACTGTTCGTCAATTCGAAGCTCAATCGGGGCGGCTGGCGTTTTTCAATTCGAAACTAAATCGGGGAGGACCCAGACTTGTTGTCGATTCGAAGCCAAATCGGGGCGGCTGGCGTTTTCCAATTCGAAGCTAAATCGGGGAGGGCCCAGACGTTTTGTCGATTTGAAGCCAAATCGGGGCGGCTGGCGTTTTTTTTTTCACTCGAAACTAAATCGGGGAGGGCCCAGGCTTGTTGTCAGTTCGAAGCCGAATCGGGGCGGCTGGCGTTTCCCAATTCGAAACTACAGTGGGGGCTCGGCCACAAGAAACCTTCGCAAGAAACCCAACCCTGAAACACGCGATCTGTTCCGTGAAAATCCACATGTGCCGATCGAAAATCGCCAAGATCTGATTGGGAGCCCATCCAAATCCAAGAAACCCAGGGCACCCTGGCAAAATCCAGCTGGTTTCTTTCGGGGGCGGCAAAGAGGGGGGCGTCCAAGAGGGGGGGGTGCAAATCATGACCGGCGGCATGTGCGCGGCCCAGCGGGGGGGCCAGGGACGTAATGAAATAAGAAGAGGCGCCATGAAATCTAGGGAAATATCATGGCCCCCGCCATGATATCCACCCCCCCCTAGTCATCACCCCCCCCCCTCTTTTCCGCCCCCGATTCTTGGCACGCGCCCCCACTGTAAATCGGGGAGGGCCCAGACTCTTGTTGTCAGTTCGGAGCTACATCGGGGCGGCCGGCGTTGTGCCACCTGTGGCCCCCGGAGGCTGGCTTCGGGCCCCCCGGGCCGTCGGGCAGCTGCGCCTGAGGAGAGGGGGGGGGGGAAGGGCGTCGAGAGGGCTACAGTCGGGGCGTTGACCTAAGGAACCCTAAATAAGGAACGAGGCCCCTTTTTTCCATAAGTTAAACTTCGATTTCGTATCGAAAACCTAAGGGAAATCTAAGGCAAGCTGCGAAACACTTGAGGAACGCGGAGCCCCTCCCCAACGAAGAGGGTTCCTTCTTCAGGGCCCCGACTGTAGGAGCCCGGGTCTCGAGCAGATCGAGACGCTGGATGTCCATGGAGGGGGAGGAGGAAGTGGAGGCGGAACAAGAAGAGGAGGAAGGAACAAAGAGATGGAGGAGGTGGAGGAGGAGGAGGAGGAAAGGGAGGATCGAGGTTCGAGCATCGAGATATTTAGACGTGTTGGTCCTTGTTGGGCCTCCAGGGCAGGTGGGAATGGATGGGGAGTGGGAGTGGGAATTGGAAAC